ATTGATTAAACAGTCATCGTAGTTGACCGCTGAAGAAATGAAATAAACGAAAAAAATATAGTTAAAATTCTTAGTAATCAAACAGAAAGCTTTATATAAAGTGGGCAAAAAGAAAAGGAAAAACTATATGTATTTCGGGGGAAATTTATAAGATACATTCACGAAAGTACAGTGAAATTTTTAAATCCTTTTGTCTTTTAAAAATATGTAAAAACTTTCATAAAAATTCAGTGAAAACTTAATGCAACTCCAGTTTATAACAGCGATTATAAAGGAGAACCTAATCAATATTAAAATTTTGCACATATGAAACCACTTGTTTCAGCTGTCTGTCCATAAGCATTCTGCTAGAAGCTATTTTTACGGTACAGATGTCTGAGAAGTTTTACTTGGATACACTACCACGTTCCCTGATAACGAGTTAATTTCGCGTAACAGGCGCCCTTCAGAGAGTTAGGCAATCCTTATAAACTAGGGACCTAAACTACACTGAAGAGTCCCATACAAACGAGTGCAGTCTCCTCTATTGTCTGACGTGGACGTCGGTCTTGTATGCTTAATTCGACAAAACTTGACGGCTTGTAAGCGGTAGCTGGCGCGATCCAATAAAGAGATACTACGTTTTTTGAACTCTAAAGTTCTAGATATGAGGCAGTGAGAGAATATGGACTACAAGCTCCCTTCTGGCCAAAGCGAGATCTAAAACCTAAATAGTTAATGCTTTCGCCGTGTTGAGGTAAACAGAGCTAATTTTGAAAACCCTTCACAAACTTTTTTTATACGGTGAAGTCGAAAAATAAATGAATGAATTATCTGAGCGAATTATGCTGCAGACATCCGGAATAAGCAGTGCGTATGATGGAAGAAAATTTAACCGCAAGTAGATTTGTAAATCATACTCAAGTGGCTACCGCTTACCTCTAATGGAAATTTCAATTCAATTGATCTTCAATTGATCATCTTCTTGGCCTTGGTCTTGATAATATGCGGATCGTGTGCTTCATTTCTCTTCTTTTTTTTTCTCATAAAACCTAGCAATGAAAAAGTTGAAAGACAAACGTACAGATATTGTTAGAATAATTTAAAGTCTTATGAATAAAGCTTTAAAAATCTCACGATAAAGATAGTATTAATATATAACCTAATCTCATGCCATTGCTTTGCGTTTGTTTTCAAAGTTTGTAAATACTTACAAAACTTCACCCTCACAATAAGGCATAAAAATAAAGAGTAAGGCAAAGTGTAGAAAGAATTCTTTAAAAATCTTCTCATTTTTAATAAACATCCTGCGTGCTGCGTTATTACATTTGAAAATTGTACACTAACTCAGTTAACTTTATAAAAAGTTTTTCTAATGTTTAACTTTTGATATTTGAGGTTTAACGATTTAAAAATCTGAAGGATACAATTTTGTTTGCGAACAGGAAGTGAATTGATTCAATTAAGTATACGTATTTGTTGCCGTCATTGTCATAAGCATTTCAATTGAGATGAAATGATTGACAAGCATTATTTTGCTTAAAGCGATTGAAGCCAATTTTCATTCAATATAATGCATGGATTAATAATTCCCGAGATTAACATATAGAAATCGTCTGTTTGGTCTTGGTAGTTCTATTGAATGCTTAGTTGGTTAAGGCGTAACACTTACGAATTTTGCATACTATCGCGACACTACACTACTGCTTATCTATATCTTTCTTCTTGCTCGTTTCGAATAGGACGCATCGTCTGGTCATACAATAATAGACAAAAAAAAAAAAAAAACAAAAAAAGAGGAAAGCTTGATGAGGACATTGTCGACTTTAAAGCGTATTGTAAGGGTCTTGAAATATCTTTCTACAGGAAAGACATCGTAACTTGGAAGACCTGCTATGCTGATGAATAAAGTCGAATTTTGTGGCAGCAACTTTTCTCACTAAGTCCCGTGACTTATTGATTAAACCATTTATTTCATATATACAAACCGCTTAGTTTCTCTCATAGGTTTTCAACTTTTTTAATTTATTAAATTTTAGAAAGAGAACAAGAAGAATGGTTGTTGTCTCGGCTCTGCATTTGCCAAAAACATATTTGAATTTTAGGTTTTTGTGATTTTGATTTCGAAACCAAGAGTATATATCTTAGTTTTTAACTTTGAGGCAATTTCCTTAACCCAAATACGGGCAACCAGAACCCAACTACGTCAAGAATTCATAATTGTTGGTAGCAAGGTAGCCAGATGTTACAAAATAGAAGGAAAAAATTTCCAAGTCCTCAATCATGAACCAGGATAAGGAAATAGCCAAGTGATGAAGGGGGCAAGCAATGCTGGAATCCGTAATGAATTCAATAGGCTATTCAACAGGCAGTACTGTTAGTTAACCACCAGAGGGCATTACCTGTAGCTTTTATTGTTCACGCTAAGGTCTTGGTTGTACACTTTTCTGAGAAGTTTTGAGAAGTATTTGAATCAAATGTTCGTATATTGAATGACAGCAAAGTAGATTAGACAACGCTTGAGTATATATCAAAAAGGGATTTGTCGAACACTCTAATGGAGAGAGCGATCTATAGCGAATCAATAAAGTTGTGGCGTATTTGCTGTCCAAATCTGAACAGCGTTAATTAGTTTCAGGTAACCTGTCCTCTATATTCCAGTTCATTAATCATCCAGTGAGTAAATTGTTTCGATGTTGTTGCATAATTTAGAAGTAATTTGATCTACTTTTTGAAGAAATGAGTGGCAATGTATAGGAATGAAATGATTAATGCACCTATGAAAAAAAAAAAAAAAATTTGTTCTAAGATCTGCAGAAAATGACACGAATATATGGACTAAAAAAAAGAGTCTCTCTTCCCTTTTGTTCATACAAACTCCAACTGGCTTCCATATGCTTCCGTATGTCGTCCTTTCATATCAAAAATTCATGGCTATTTTAATAATTCTAATACGTAACACCACTATTTGAATTTGTGGTCGTAGTTAGAACTAAACACACAAATAAAAATTATGTGTACGAATTACTTTCTATATATACTCTATGTAAATACTGAACAATCGAAATTTATTTCATTTTATTTTGTATTTAAACAAAACAAAATTTTTTTTATTTTTTTATTAATAAACGACCGAATGTTATTTGTGTACGTAAAGCTTCAAAATGCTTTAATCTCTCATAAATAAATAAAAGAAATTTAGAACGAGTCGTTGACACCCGCAACCAGAAAGCAATACATAGAAGTTGTAAAGTATTTTATCACATATAAGCATGAGAGTTGATTTAGAGGAACTTTCCTTGCATTGCGTTCTCAAAAAACTGTTGGGTATTTTTTTTTATATCAAGTTTTATTTCAATATCTCTTTCTTATCAGTTATAGATTACAGTGTTTTTTTTTTCCATTGCATTGTTTTTCCTTATTTTTAAAACTAATCGTTGAACGCCCCATTAGAAATATACTTTTCAATTTTTGGATCATTAAGTGCTTAAGACAGACACACAAACTAACCGGTAAATTTAAAAGAATCAACTCATTGCCTTGGCCTGATAAAAATCGAAGTATTTGTACCTCATGAAATCTCTAAGCGTGGCAAACGGAAGAGAAAATCTAACATATGTACCTCGGTACAGTTTCTAAATAAACAAAAATTTTATAAAAATTGATAATATTGTGCAAAATTATATACAGTATAAGTGAAAAGTTATTAAATCTTGGAGAGCTTAAAATTTGTCAACTGATTACGTTCATAATACCGGTCTATCTCTATGTCTGAATGAGTTGTAATCGAATGATTTTGATTTTTACTGCATTTGTATTTGCTTTTTTTTTTTTTGTCTGACTATTTAATGTACGTATACAATGTATACAATGATATATAATTTACATATATAGTTATTTATATTACAAAAACAAAAAGAAGAAGACAAGAGGAATTCAAACTATTGAACAAAAGCAAACTGCATTTGTAATCTTTATGCATCCAAGTAATATTAAAAAAATTCTTTGAATTCATCTTAAGCCTCTTCTTTACTATTGGACTTGCTTTAAACATTCACTTTTTATTATTTATTTAATCCTGAGTTGAATTTCTAAAGCGCTTTTATTCGAGATGACAAAGCTAGCTGAGCGAGGTCGGAATGATGAAGAAAGTCAACAGATTTGAAAGTCCGCAAGGTTGGGTAGTCGAGCAGTTAAGAATCCCTGTTACCAAGTCTGTGTTCGCGGATTCAAATCTCAAAGCGATTGAGTTTACTCTGATTGTAGTTATAGTGAGTGCTCAGTCACTTAAAGCATAATACACAACGCTACCACGACCGCTTCCCTATCTCCCTCTATTTCCTCACTTCTTTCTGACCGTGACATCGTATTATGCGAATATAGATGACATCCAATGAGTGATTAGTCACATAAGAAGAAAATAAAAAGAATCGGATATGAAAGTCAATAGATTTGTACTTGTGCCCACGCAGATACAGGGGCATGTTTATGGTTAAAAAAACCAGATGTGAGAGCCAATAGAAACGCGCTTGTGCGCAGGCAGATGCAGGGTCTTGTCTATGGTTAGCGACATCGAGTAAACGCGATCCTCGTTTAATGGTAATTTCACCATTGAAAGACTTTCCATCCAGACAGTAATAAGAAGCTCTAAACTCTCGAGACCATAATCTATAATTTATTCCAATTTGAGAACTGTAGACCGGCGCTTGGTTACGCGAACTGAATTTTCTCATGTGTTACTGTTCGAGTATGAAAAAAAAAGTTATATTGGAATCGAATATTTTTACCGGAAACTACGTTATTTTATGAATGTCTTTGGGTGATTTCATAAAATCGAAATATATTCTCCGTTTTTGCTGTCGTTTGTTTTAATAATTTAATATTTTTAAATTTCAATTATTATTTTTATGTCAATAGACATAAGGCTGTGAAATATTAATGATGTCGTTTACGTTCTCAAAAGAAAAAGGCTTTGCAATTTTCAATAAGATTTAATAAAAGTGCTTTCAATATAACTTAATATGAATTGCAAGCAGTCACCTTGTACAGCCTGTGTACGCAGTCTGATGGTAGATCAAGGTTTAAATATGAAATTAAAAGATATGCAAGCCAAACACTATCTAAAATGGAGTATATTGAATTTATTATTATTGGCTATACTTAAATTGGATTATAGCATGAAATGTACATGTGCGCAGTCGTATTGGTTTAAATTAGAATATGGAATTATAGTAATAGTGGGCCTTAACACAATCGCATGCATGACTAAATATTTGTATTACATTTATAAAAGAGAGCCCATACAGTGCACAATAGAGCAGAAAAACTTGCTAGAAATTGATGATAACGAGAACTTGTTCATTATAGCAAAGCCAAAACACAAAAGAGCAATGGCGTCTTGCGAAAAAATCCAAATTGAAAGTATAATTGATAAGGGACATCCATTACTTAATATCGCTCGCACTCGTGCTTCAACTATTTCGACAATACCTCGCTTACACTCACTGCGAACTGGAATTGTTCAGCAAAGCCAGCAGCAGTCACAACAATCGCGAAATAAACCGAACTCGAGAATAATGTACAGTCCACACTCAGTCAATGTTGCCAAGCAAGAAGCATCATATTCTCGTAATTTAATTCGTGAAAAAGACGAAATTAATAACGAAGCAAGTTTAACAGAATATTTGAAAAAAATCTCAGTCAAAGAGAAGGACAAAGATATCGACAATCTTAGCGTGCCTGCTAATCGTAGATGTTTGAATTCTTTTTGGCGTTATGGCAACGCGACGAGTGAATATAAAAACGTATATCAGCTAGCGCCAACAGACGCTTTTATGAATAGCAATGAACGAATTCGTCAAGAGAATATTGATCTTTATATGCAGGAAAGAAATTGTACGGTCATAATGCGGATACCATCGGAAAAACTTTCACGATATGTTTATAATTTAAGAACTTGGATATCTCTCACGATTTTACAACGTTTAGCAGAAGAAATCCATAAGATAGACGAATCGTTTAAATGCCATGATCTTAATATGCAAATTGGTTCAATCGATTTGAAGGGATTAAAAAAGACGTTAAACAATAAATTGTTTATTAATACCCGAGCACCCATGTTACCCTTGGTTATAAAATTTTTAGATATAACGGACAATCAAATATATTTAGTGCAACGCATTAAAGATTTCGCTGATGGATGGTGTATAGCAGATTATAATTGGGATACCGGATCCGATCATTTATATTTTAAATGGAACGATCAATTGCCAACCGATGCTGCGATTATATTTCATTTCTTTTGCGTTTATTTCGATACGCAATTATTGCCGTTACCGCATAAAGCGAATCGTCCTTTCTATAGTCGTTACGTAATTATAGCTGAACATAATCGTTGTCCTCTTGACACTGTGGCTATGGTAAATAATCGAGCCGGGTGTGCCATACTATGCACTGATCCACTTAAGCCGAAATTCAATTTTATAAGTCACGGTGAAATTCATAATTGCGCCTATGATCGTAATAATCTCTTTTATGTTATTATACATTTCTTATTGTACATGCGGAAGTATCGAGATAACTTTCTCGAAGGTACTAGCCTAGGTGTCAACGGCATCAATATCATGCACGTTATTGGCGATTGAAACAATTATAATTATATCGTCACTCAATGGTTTGCAATCTTCGTGAATTAGTAATTAGTTTTTAATTTTGTTGAAAAACTGAAGAAAAATTTAAAAAAATTTATACAAATGCTTTGCATTTATTTGGAATTTGCTTTTCTTAAAGTGAAAAATTTTTGTGGTTTTCTGTGAATGAAAGATGGACACGAATAAATTTATTTAGACAAATGTAACTTATCTCATTGAGGTGTCTAATGAGGTCTCTTTAATTCAGTTCAAAATTCTGCTTATAGGAGCAACAACTACTACTGTAAAACAAGTAAGAACATCGTAGTTGGGCAACGCAGACTTTCTATACCCTATAGCACTGCGCATGCATCAAAAAGTACACATTATTTTCATGCAACGCCATAATTTTCATTAAAGCCCGCATATTGGAAGGTTAGATTTTCTCCCCATATAAGAGTGTGCAATTCGTGGGAGCGTCTATACTTGTTAGGGTCCCAAATAAATACATCCATGTGGTCCATATTTACTAGCATGAAGAGTAGATCTTCGCCCCATATAATAGGTTGTGGTCCTTGATAGCACCTGTACTTGGCGCTATGGGTCCCAAATAAATAGATCTACGTGATCCATATTTCCTAGCACTCATTTTCTTGCTGAAACGTCACTATACTTAAATTTCATTTCAAGAAATTAAGCCTTTTTCCGAAAAGCTTACTACTCATCAAGTATCTTATATGAAATAGGGTAAAGAAATAGAGCCATACAGTTCAAATTAGGTCCACTTAACTTATTTATTTCAATACTATCATCAACAAATTTTCATCACGAAAAAATTACCAATTATGCTTTTTTGACATACAGGAATTTACGTTGCAGGAGACTTCTTATAAGCGGTGGAGTCCGAAAAACAAACCTATGTGGTCCAAATTCGGTAAAGGTGATTTCTTCTTCGTTACTAGTATGAACCGATTTGCACCATAAGATTTTAAAAATCTTTACCATATAAAGATCAAGTTTTTCTTGATCAAGCTTTTATGAGAGACCGTTCAATAGTTGCCCCAGTCGGTTTAAAATTTTCATATCAATTAAGAATGACGAAACGCAACTGCTTGGCCACTCTTGCCGAGAAATTTTGAAAATTACAATTTTTTCCATAGGGCATTATATCGGGGAGTGGACAGATCCAAATCGTTTATCGCAAATATAACGATTTCAAGAGGATCACGTTAAGTGTTTTTATCAAGAAAAATACAATTGCTATCTGGAAGTGTGTCTATCAAATCTGACTATATACTTAGATAATTTGATGCGGATAGTCTTCGATACATTTTTTTTTCCTAAGTCAACGTCACATACTTAGGTCAAAAAGAATTTTCATTCAATTTTGTTCATATTTATGATAGGCAACATGAATCATATATCGCAATAATATAACATAAATAGCATACTTTTCGCCATACGGATAAACACAAAAACTAAAATTAGCAAATTTATCAAAAAAAAAAAAAAAAACCAAAAAATTAAAAAAATAAATAAATTTTTTTTAAACACTTTTAAAATTTTTTATTCATTTAAAATAAAATCGTTTAAAGATAATAAAAATAAAATTAAAAATTTTTGCATTAAAATTTTGATTTAATTTTTTTTACCTATTCACACATCCATGGCTATATGCAATAGATTTAAACAAATTTATTAATTACGTTTATTTGTAATTGATAATTATAGAGTGACTTTAATGCTATACAAAGCTAAGAAGCTTATGTTGCAGAGAAAAAAGGGAAAAACAAAGAAATGAGAAAATTTCAATAATGCAAGGGAAAACAGGCAGGCTTTTAAATTGATTTTATCGTCTTTCGTATTAGTTTTAGTATTGAAAAATTATAATGAAAACATAGCAGTGAAGAGAAGCTTTTTACCTCTTGCTTCCGCGTGAATGAAAAGGTAATTTTTTTAAGTGCATAATTTTACATAATTTCACGAAACTACAGTTTCCTTTAATTTACTGGTTGATGTACTTTAGAAAATTTATGTAAATACCGAAAGCGCACTAGTTTCTTTGCACAAGTAAGAAAACCGAAAATACCATCACTGCCGCTAACCTTACTAACAAAACCGCTGTATGTGAACAATAGAACGCCAACCGCTACCAAACCATTACCATCGCCAGTAGTAGAGAGCCATTTTTCGTATAGACGACTTGTCTTGTGGCATAAAGTACAAAAAGCTTAAACCACAAACACATATTTACAAGTTATTGTGTGCGTGTGTGTGTGTGTGTGTGTGTGTGTGTGTGTGTTTGTGTAAATAAGATATTTTGTGAGATACAAAAGCAATTTTTTCTTTCATTAAAATAAGGTGGTTGTACAAAGGTCTGCATACATCTGAGGTTACTTTAAAAAGCTTGCTTGCTTGCTCGCTTGCTTGCCTGCCTGCCTGCCATGGTTGGCTAATAAGTACTGTTGCTAAAAGCAAGAGTTCCTGTTGAAATATACGCAAAATACCATCGAACCGGGAATAGTTAGTTATTCGCACAAATATACAATTTTCCACTATATGTACATAGTTCCGTTGACTTGCATGTTACCAAAAGAATTTAACAAAAAAAAAAAAATAAAAAAATAAACGAAAAGGAAAAGGAAAAGGAAAAGAAAACGCAGAAAATAACCAGGCAAGTAGTATTACATAGAATAATATTCTTATCGAACTTAGTAAGGTAAGGTGTAGTTATTTGCAATCACACAGGGGGTATATGCACACAAATGAAATATCCGACTATACACACTCTCATCTTATCAAATCTTAGTGCACTTTTATAAGCGCCAACTGGTGTTCATTCTTCAATAATGATGCTTACCGTGTAAGTATGCAAGAAAATTTGAAAGAAAATATTGAATATAAAAAGGATTTTTTGCTTTTGAATTACTTAAGTAATATTGTTGTCGATGTTGCTTTGAAGTGGCAGTGCGCTGATGTAAAATATTATGCAAATGAATTAATATTTCATTTTTGTTGTGCGTTCAAATTCCTTTTTGGTTGGAAATACTATTGAGCACAAAAATGTATATTTACCAAATCACGCATTTAGGACATCATGAAAATGACATCTAACAAATCCATATGTCGTACGTCACTTAACTCTATTACCATTCTAGTTAGTCCCGCTGTCTCTCTCTCTCTCTCTCTCTCTCCCTCTCTCTCTCTCTCCATATATATCACATCACTCAAGAAGTCTCCGGTCTAAATCGCACTTTTTATACAATTTCGTCATTCAAACGCACTTATGAAAGAGACAGCGAGATCCCGCCTGGTCGAGTAGGGGAGTTCGAGTCAGGGGAGAGCCGAAAGCGTCAACGCGAATAATGCAAAAAAAAAAGAGGAAAACTGATTATTAGACAAGGATAATGGGAGAACGCTCTGAACTGGAAAAGGGAATCGTAAGCAAAATAAGAAAAATGTATAAACACAAGGAATACTTGTGAAAAGTCAAACTATTCTTTAAACGTTCAAAGAAAACATAAAATTCTTGTGAGTGAAAGCCTCGTGCCGCTGATTATACCCCAGCATTAGGAAATGCGCAAAAGCCTTCACAGTATATAAAAATCTTGGATAATTATGTTTCGATAAATAACTTTTTTTTTACTTTGGAAAAAATAATGCGAGCCCAAAGTTTGAGCCGAAGCCTTGATCGTTAATATTTATGGATTTAAACAATTTTTTAAGTGACTGTTACAGCAGGTGCAACTGAATTTTAAAATAATTGGGAAAAAAAATTTAATTGAGTTTTAATTTGAATTTAATTTTTGTTAACGTTCTTCTCTCTCTGCTGCTTTTCATGCCAAAGCGTGCGAAACTCTTTTAACTTGAATTCAATAATTCTCTCAGCCGTTAATGCACTCTAATCGTTTACATATTAATGAAAAAAAAAAAAAAAAAAAAATTAAAAGTAATTTTATATCAAACTATTTAACGTAATTATGTATAAAGTTAAGCTGCAACATATTTAAAATAACACTTTTTTTTTTTTTTTGCCACTACCGTCTACCAATCTGTCTGGCGTGTCCACTAATTTTACATTAAACTTATTATATATCAGTTTGATAAAAAAAAAAAAAGTACAAGTAATAAAAGAGAGAATACATTAAAGCTATCGTTAAGTTCGTAACATGGAAAGTTTTCCACAATCAATTCAATTTATGTCCCCATTTTATAGCTTTGTCGATCCCGTAATCTATTCTATCCGTTTGGAAAGAATATTATCAACGACACGAAAAATTCATTACAAATTTAATAGAGAAGAGAAATCACCGGCTTGCTGTTGATCAAAGCGATCTTATAAATTCTTGGACGAAATTCGTTCAACATTTAATTTGGATTTCTCAAGACTATGTTTGTAATAATAGACAATAAAAAAATTTTATTATTATTATTATTATTATTAATTTAGTCGGAGAATGAATTTTAAGACTAAAGTCTTAAAGCACTAGCACCTAAAGACTTTCGGATTTATTAAGAACTCTACCGTACTTGAGATTTGAAACCACGATCACTGATTTGCTGGTCGAGACTCTTGCCTACTCGTCCACTCAGGCAAATCAAAAAAAAATAAATAAATAAAAGCAAAACAAATACAAAAATTACTTCCGATTTCAACGGACTCCTTTTTATGCAATATTATGCATTAGAAGCAGATTTTATTTTTACATATATAATTGCAATTAAAAAAATAATAGATTTATTTGATCGCAATAAAAGTGAATAATGCATAAATAGTTTCACACCATTCATTTACGACGGAGTCCACAGTATACAGTGGCAGTGTTCTGGGACATTTAACCTATCCATGCGCATACAGTGTTTCACTGAAGGCTATCGCTTGGCTAGAAAATCTGCAGATAGGTTTTTTGTATTCACTTATTCCACATCTATTTGACCTCCTTTCACTACATCTCATCAAAAATTCTTCTGCGGAAAGTCGGGTAGGGCCGCATATTCCGCTTTTGTACGTGATG